TTGTAGAATATGTATCAAGGGTTCCGTACATATAAAGAACGCCGAAATCCGAGTTATAATGAAGAAGTTATGACCCGTCGAAGTTTTACGACGGAACCGACGTGGCACTAGGAAGCGTAAAAAGTGAATTTATGATAGAAGACTTTTTAGCCTTATTAATATAAACCAAAGTCGTAGAGTATGTTAAACCGAGAAAATCCATAAAAAGAACGCCTAAATCTGACTTCGTATGAAGAAGTTATGATTTTTCAAAGTTTCGGCTTAACAGTGTACAACGCGAAACTCGAATTTTAGTTCGAGCGGTTTTTGGCTTACGCGACCTAAATAAGAGTTGAATATATCATTAATAGGAACTCAACGGTAAAAAGACATACGAAAACAGAGTCCGTATGAAGGAGTTACGAATTCTTCGCGGTCATTTAGCAGTCTAATCTCATCCTACTATTAAATTTAATATCGGTAGAGAATTAGCCGACGGAGTCTTAATGTAAGTTGTAGATCTTGTTTTTGTCTATGCGTGGAAAAAAAGAACGTAAAAAATGGAGCTCGTATGCGAAAGTTACGGGGTTTAGAAGTCAGCAGGGTGCTGCTGCAAAAGGGGTGACGTGGCACAATGTAGGCCACACACGTTTCGCCACCAGAATATTGACACCTGGCCTGGAACTCGACGAGTTGGAGGCCAACTTGATGATTTTTTTGGATTTCCAGCCTATAAATAGAGGTGTCGGGTTCCCTCATTCTTCACACCTTCCCAACTTCACTTTCTATCTCTAGGTTCTCTCTCTAAAGCCCCCCCCCCCCCCTAAAGTCTAGGTAAACCCCCTAGCACCCGAAGGAAGCCCCAAGGCTCCCGAAGCCCCGAGAAAAGAGCCTGTCGGCTCGGGAATGCTGCTCCAGCGAAGCCCGGTTTTGCGAAAAATCCGTTGTAAGTGAGCTACGCCTACCCTATCGTTAGTATATCTTGTGTTTCAATATAGTAATGTTATTAGGAACTTATAATAAGTACTTGGGCTATTATTATGAGCTATATTAGTATTGTTTAATGATTATACGATAGTAATAATAGCTAGACTATCAATTAGTTTCGGTGAATATTAGACTAAACTCTAGTGGTAATGATACTAGGTTTTAACCGAGGAAAATTGTGTTGAGAGTAACGAAGTGTTGTTCGAGTGCTGAATCACCACCTTCTCAATTGCGTGCAAAATCCCTTTCATCTTACACATAGACATGAAGTATTTTATATAAACTACGTGCCATATGTGCATATTATCTGTATACTTGCTATCTATGCTAGATGAACGATTTTATACAAGTTTTAAATGATTTAAACTATATACGTATTTTATATCTACAAATATGTTGGGTATAACATGGGTAGATGAATGATGAGAGATAAAAGGTGATATGAGTGATCATTGGCAACTATGGACTTAGTACCTATTGAATAAATGATGGTAGCTATGGACTTAGTACCTGATAGATAAACGTTGGTAGCTATGGACTTAGTACCTAAACACTGGTAGCTATGGATTTAGTACCCGATGAATAAACTTTAGCAGCTATGGAATTAGTGCTTTACGAACGAGCATTAGCGGCTATGGACTTAGTGCCAGTCCTATAACCCTCGAAGTAAAGGACTTCTGAATGAACGGATGCAGGATAGATGACTCTTAGGGTAGACTCTTAAGAGTAAGGAAGATAATGGGGATGGGTAATTGGGTTGATTGTTTGATTGTTTAAACATAATAATTATATTATTGTGGGTTGAAAACCCTATGTACTCACCAGGTTTCCCAACCTGACCCACTCGGTTTATTCATATCACAGGTGTTGATATGAAGTCACATTACACTGAGAGACTAAGGAGATATAAATCACTAGTGATAATGAATGTAAGTTCTATTTATGCTTATGTTTCTGTATTGACGATGACATCCCAAATGTTTTAAAATGAATAGAAATACTTTTCTTCGGAAATGCTTTGATAACGTATGTATCATGTTTTACTGGGAACAAATTCCACAACGTTTTTATTAAAAGATATACTCTTATTTTTATAAAGCATAAACAAAATCTGTCTTTTCTGGCCGTGAAAATGGGGATGCCACAATGCATGTATAATGCATGTCTCCACCCAAACTAGGTCAAAATCATGAAGAAATGAACTCAAACTTTGAGTATGATACCAAAACTCCAAAGAACCATAGATTTACAACATATAACCCCAAATGGACCTCAACGATCCATACAGTTTCCAAATTTATGAAATCCTTCCATCCAAACTTCCATAATCCTGAAGAAATGGTACAAGAAACCTAGATCTAGAAACTTAGAATAAAAAGCTTGGGTATTGAACACTTATAAGAGTCCAGAGAATGCATAAGAGGATGATGTTTCCTTGCTGGATCAACACATTAGACACATTCTTCTTCTGCAAGCTACCAAAAACACTAAAATGAGCAAAGAATCACCAAGGCGGTCTAAGTTTATGGTTTTATGAGGTTTGAGGGTGATGAAGGCTAATAAAGAACCCTAGATTCAATTTAATGGGTTTAAATATGAAAGAAACCCTAAAAGATCATGGGCTTGGGCCAAAACAGATGTCACGTCGTGGACATACTACCACAACGTCCTGGCCATACTACTGCAACGTTGTGGCACTCATTAAATGCATGCATTCTTGGTTTGGCTCATCACGTCATGACCACCCTATGGTCACGTCGTGACATATAATTTTTTTTCCCCAAAAATCATGTCTTTGACTCCTTGGTGCCTTACACTGATCCGATCCGGAAAACAAGTGTTACACACATTAGCTATTTATTATATTTTTTACAAATATCTTAATTGTTTATAATTAATAGTTATTCAGTAATATATTAATATGAATATGATTAGAAATTCAGATTATATATTTTAATTAATTTATAGTTTACTTAACACAATTTTAGTTGTTAGATCTTAACCAAAATAAAGAATCGAGTAAATTACAAGAATGAATCCTATGGTTTGGGGTAATTTGCATATTTGGTCCCTAACTTATTTTTTAACTCAGAAGGTCCCTACTATTTGTTTTGTTACGCACTTCGTCCCTACTGTTTGTTTTTGTTACGCATTTGGTCCCTGTTTTACCTAAAAATACTATTATTTAAATAGGGAAAAATGGTAAGGTAGGTTAGATGAGATGAGATGGATGGAGTTGGGGTGTATTTATTTAAATAAATAAATAAATCAAAGGAAAATAATCTTTTTAGGTAAGACAGGGACAAAACGCGTAACAAAAACAAATTGTAGGGACCTTCCGAGTTAGAAAAATAAGTTAGGGACCAAACGCGCAAATTACCCTAAACCATAGGGACCATTCATGTAATTTACTCTAAAGAACCAGTCAAACAAGTAACTTTAAATGAAAAATAATAAAAATCAAAGAGCCTTTGACCTAACGATATTACAAGTTGACAAAAGAGGTAGATTTATGAGCATTTTAGTCAAAGTTTACAGGTTTAAGTCTCATTGGGACGAAATATATAGTTTAGAAGTAGCAGGTGTGTAGAAAAAACAAGAGTAAATTACACGAATCGTCCATGTGATTTGGGGTAATTTGTATGTTTAGTCAATAACTCATTTTTTTCACTCGGGCCATCCTTATAATTTATTTTTATTGCACGTTTGGTCTCTAATCGATATAGAAAGACAATTATACCCCTTTTGATTTTGTTTTTACTTTTACTTTTTGTTTATTTTTATATTAACGATACCCACCACCATCCCTTACTCTTCTTCTCTTTCCAGATCATCACCCCTCTTACTTATTGTGCTTGGCCACTAACCCCCTTCCCATCCATCTCCTTGTTCTAATACGTCCACCAACGCCGAAAACACATACACTTTCCCATATATTCTTCATAAATATCGATTAACTAATACATTCTTCATCATTCTGTCCACCGCCCACCGATAATCACTCTTTCGTTATTCCCTGAAAACCACCAACAATTGTACTTATCACTTTTGATGCACAAAATCAACATACATGCTGCTGTCTCCACCTCCAGTTCACCCATATTCAAAGCAAGAATCACCTTTTCCAGAAGCATCATCTGAATCAACGAGAATTTGTTGCATAATCTTTTAATTTTGATTTGTGCATTCTTGATCTCCAATGGTTGTCATCTCCACCACCACCACCACCTCCTCCTCATCCTCTATCTCACCCTTCTCTTTTGTATCAATTATGATTTTTCAGTCTCGATCTCCGCTGCATCGATTTTGAAATTTTAGGGGGTTTATTTAACAATTGGGAGATCATTGGGTTTGTTTAACATGTTTGAATTAAAAATCGTTTAACTGGTTTGAATGGAAAGTGCTTTACATTTTTTGGAAATAGCCAGTTTGTTTAATTGGAGGTGTGGATGGAACTCTCGTCGTGACACTGTTCCCAATGATGTGTCACAGTTGAGGAAGATGAAGGGTTTAGGTTTGATCGTTGTGCGTTTCATAGTTGATTGCAGATGGTGATTCAAGCAAACATGATGGTGAATCTTGAACCGCGACTTCGTTTTTTGCATCTTAAATCTTCAAAAGTATGGACTTATTGTGGTTTCATCCGGGTGCTTTGTGTGTGTGTGTGGTCTTGTGTTTAAAGTTGCAGATAAGGAGGTGGTGATGAGTTTTCACAAGATATTTGGTGATGGAGAGTTAAGTGAAGAAGACAGTTTGTACATCGATTATAGAGTTAAGTGAAGATTGAGGGACTAACTCCGAAACAAATTAAGTTGTAAGGATGGTAAGTGTTAAGAAAAAATATTATGAACCAAACACAAGAATTAACCCAAAAATCCATATAAAACCAATCTTGTAACGGTCACCCAACCATTTCATGAAACGCATTGAAACGCCCGATTCCCAAATCTCCAAGAATTGAAGGTACCAAACCCTAGCTCAGAAGAGGGCAAATCTTTTGCTGTTTCTCCGATCTATCGTCGCTCAATCAAAACATGGGGCAAGCGGAGAAATTGATGAATCAGATCATGGAACTGAAATTCACCGCGAAGAGCCTCCAACGCCAGGCAAGGAAGTGCGAAAAAGACGAGAAAACCGAGAAACTCAAAGTCAAGAAGGCAATCGAGAAAGGAAACATGGACGGAGCACGAATTTACGCCGAAAACGCGATTCGTAAGCGTAATGAACAGATGAATTACCTCCGTTTAGCCTCTCGCCTCGACGCGGTGGTCGCAAGACTTGATACACAAGCCAAGATGAATACGATCAGCAAGTCGATGGGGTCGATCGTCAAGTCTCTTGAGTCAACCCTAGCAACAGGTAATTTGCAGAAGATGTCGGAGACGATGGACCAGTTTGAGCGACAGTTTGTGAATATGGAGGTACAGGCAGAATTCATGGAGAGCTCGATGGCCGGTAGCACTTCACTTTCGACTCCTGAAGGAGAAGTTAACAGCTTGATGCAACAAGTGGCTGATGATTATGGTCTGGAGGTGTCTGTGGGTTTGCCACAACCAGCTGCGCACGCTGTGCCAACAAAGAATGCCGAGAAGGTTGATGAAGATGATCTGTCTAGGCGTCTTGCAGAACTTAAAGCTCGCGGGTAACTGAAATTGTCTGATCAGCAGTATATATATATAACTATCTGCAATTCCAGAATAAATGTGTACATTTTACTGACTTTAAATATGGTTTTATGTCTGGCTTTTATACTGTTATTCTATTAAGAGGTGATTGATTCATAGTAAGAATATGAAATGTTTGTCAACATTATATTAGTTTTTGTTTCTTTATTTCTTCATGTATTATGTGGGTATCTGGAGTTTTGATGACTGCTATAACTTTTCATATGGTATCATTTTGATTCAGCAAGCAGATAATACTTAAGAGCCAGTTGTGTCTTGTAATATTAGGATACTTTAAAGATGCTTCAACATGGTGTAGTTTTGGATTATTTATGGTATGAGGTTTGAGTTGCACTCTTTTTTACCAATTTATGAAACAAAATAGATTTCTTACTAATTTATGAAGCGAGTTCCTAAGAAAAATCTTGGGTTTGAGATCTACAAGATGAAGGGATCTTGTATTGTTCGTGAATTTGAGAATTATTGTTTTTTATTTCTAGGGGTTGCAATCTCTACCCATTTTTTACTAATATATGAGTTATGTTTATATCTCTAACGAATAACATTATCATAAAACAAGAGACAAATTTTGAAGCTGGATTGATGGAGTGGATAACAAGATGAACAAAAAAACCAATACAACGATTAAATTAATAACTTAATTGTTAGCACTTTCTTCAAGAAATATCAACTATAATGTGCATGAGTATCACAAAATTTGCTACACGAAATTAGAATCTTAGCTTCATAGAAAAACCAAACTAAATACTAATAATTTAAATGGATTTTGTTAAATTAATATTTCTTAGACCCCTTACATCTTATGAACACTTCTATTAAAAATCAATCTATAATAAACTATTCATAATATACTTTTTTTTGAAAAACAATATAGATTTAACCAATAAAAGTATCTTAAAAATCAAACAGAAAAATTAAATAGATTGTCCATATACAAAAATAATGAGTCAACTAAACTCATTCAAATACATGGACACGAAAAATTAAGGGAAAATACTAGTAATAATAAAAAAATAGGGGGTATTTTTAAAATTTAGACATGAAAATGGACATTTCTAGGTATAGATATGGATTCCGTGGAGATAGCTCCGCGGAATCTACTGTAACTCCGTGGAATGGCAAAATCGTAAATAAATCAGGATATTAAAAAAAAAAAAAAAACTCAAGATCCATTCCGCGGAGCTACAGTAGATTCCGCGGAGCTCCGAGGAATGGATCTTCAGAAAAAAAAAAAAAAATTCACATCCGTTCTTTGGGGTTTATATTTGTTCCCCAACTATTTATTTTCAAGAAAAGATTATGATAGTATGATAGTCTTTTCTTGAAAATAATTAGTTTGGAATGAATATATAAATCCCGAAGAATCGATGTAAAAATAAAAATAATAATAAATAAAAAAATTGAAGATCCATTCCTTGGAACTATCTCAGCGGAGCTACCTTCGTAGAATCCATGTCGATACCCTAATTTATTTACGATTTTGCCATTCCACGGAGATACCTCCGTAGAATTCATGTCTATACCCGGAAATCTAATTTTTGTGACTATATTTTGAAAATACCCCACCAAAAATTAATGATGTCAAAGGGATCGATGAGTTGTCATTTGCGCACCTGCTTTTCAATTAAAGCACGTTTACAAATTAGGTGCTGGCGGGAATCAACGGTGGAGCCACCGCGAAAATATCGACGGCATCTTAATTCACCTACTTCTTATTCTTTAGGGTAAATTACACCATTCGTCCCTCGTATACATGCCAAAAAGCGTGTCCCTATTTTCAAAAATTAACTCGGACCGTCCCTCATTTGTTTAAAAGTTGCACACTCCATCCCTGATACGTGGTTTTGTTACAAATCTAGTCCATATAAGATCTGAAATGACCATAATGCCCTTTATTTATTTATTTTCTAATTATTTTTGATTTATATAGTATTATTAATTATAAATTATATTTAGAAAAAAAAATTAACGACCCTTCCCCTTATTTATCTTTTCTCTCATTAAACCTCACCCTCATATTCTAGGATTCCGACGAGCCATCAAACCCTCAGCCTCCAACATTCTGGCGATGTTCAGTTCAACAATTTCCGACATATGTGGAGGTAGTTTCCAACGATTGGGTCGATGGGAAGGAGAAAGGTTCTGGTGTCTAGATCATCTTTTCCCACCTCCATACTCCATCTGATGAACACCCTTCTAGCAACACCAAGAACACCCCATCACAAATTTATGTTTCCGATGAGAGGCAAAGAGGAGATCGGAGGAAACGGGTGAAGGTTTAGTCTTCGAATGATGCCCTTCTCAATTGTTTCACTGAGCAGCTTATCCCTATTTCTTCGTTTCCCCTTCTCCATCCTTCCTAAATCGATTTTGATTTTGTGTTTCTGGTTGATTTGGTTTCGATGGATTCTTCTGGAAACACGCAGATATGAATTTTTACCAAATCTGGAAAAATCACCACCATGGATTTCCCTCTCCTGTTAAAGAACTATGATGGTTCATCACATGATATCGGGAATAAATTATGGCTTGGTACATACGAATTCTCGAAACTTGATTTCCTGTCAAGTAATTTGACAAATCAAATAAAGCTATGGTCAGTTGGGTATATTCTTTTGTTAAAGCTTTATGAAGAGAGCAACCCCGACATGTACGACATTGACAAATCTAGAAAAATCACCACCATGGATGTCCTGATCGATTTTGTTTCAATGGATTCTTCGTAGGGTGGGTAATATATGGAGAATATGGTGGCCATAGTCGAATCTTGTTGCAGGTTTTAAGGGTTAGAGATGATAGTGATGATGACAGAGTTGGTGAAGGTGGCGGTGATGGGGTTTTCGTTGGCATAGGGATCGAGTGAGAAAGAAGGAGACGAAGGCAGAAGAAATTATATGTTTTATTCGATAGGAAGAAATGGAAGGGGGAAGGGTGGGGGTATTTTTTTGTTTATTCTTATTTTTTAATAAAAAAATATATATAAATAAAAGAAAATGAAAAAAAAAAGAAATTATTAAGGGCAAAATAGTCATTTTATGTCAATAGGGATGAAACGTGCAAGTCTAAAAGAAACGAGGGATGGTCCGAGTTAATTTTTGAAAATAGGGACTAAACACGTTTTTTGGCATATAGACGAGGGACGATTGGTGTAATTTACCCAATTCTTTAACACAAATATTCGTCGATTCAACCTTTTCTCCCTGTATTTCACCTCATTCCCAATGAACTACGATGCTCATAATCAGTTAATCACACAACATACACGCTCACCGTCCTCGCCCTACTGATTTTCTTCACCAATTTCTGTAATTCGTCCTCTTACGAATTCAATCTTACCATCGTACTGACTATTACTTAGTTGTTCAGACCAGACCGAAGAAATGAAAGTTTCGAAATGGTTTTTTGTAATTATGATTGTTTCGTTTCTTAAACCTCAAATCTCATTTGGGGTTTCTGAGATCTCGCAAGAATTTCTCAAATTCGCAAAGAAAAGTGAGGTTTTTGATTGGATGGTGGGGGTTAGGAGAAAGATACATGAGAATCCAGAGCTGGGATATCAAGAATTCGAGACCAGTAAAGTTATCAGAGAAGAATTGGATAAATTGGGGATTTCTTACAAACACCCAATTGCAGTTACCGGCGTTGTTGGATTCCTCGGCTCCGGCGAACCTCCGTTTGTTGCTCTAAGGGCAGATATGGATGCTCTTTCCATTCAGGTTTTGTTCTTTTTTAAGCTTAATTTGTGTTTTTTTCCTGCCAGATTAATTTCTAAGATAGTTGAAGTTGATTTATTATCCATTTCTATTGTTTTGAGTTTTGAACTCTGGCTAATTACAAGAACTACTTGTTATGTGTTTTGAACTTTGACTTAATAAGAACTCAAATCAAATTCTTATAGTTATTGTTTCGAGCTCTTATTTTCATCCAGTTGTATAAAAATGACTCCAGTTCTAACTACTCAATAATTACTCGTGGATGTAGTATAATAATTGTATTGATAAGTTTTATGATCTTTGTGATTAGGAAATGGTGGAATGGAAACACAAGAGTAAAGTTCCTGGAAAGATGCATGCATGTGGTCATGATGGTCATGTCACAATGCTTCTTGGAGCAGCCAAGATTCTCAAAAGCCATAGCCATCTTTTGAAGGTAGGTTTGTTTAGTTTTTCATTGCATCCTCTATCTTGAATGCTCACCATTTTGGTAGATAGAATTTAATAGAAATCAGATGGATTTGGGTACTTGTTTATAAGTTAAAAGGATTGAATTCTTAACAATAATTTAAGTTTTTCTTTAAAGCACAAAGTTGTAATATAAAGAATGAAGTAAGATGCAAACAAATCAATGAAAGTACATTGCTACTTCCTACATTAACCCTCTTTTTCATTTTTAAAAGAGTTTCATAGTCTGTACATTAAATGTGCATATTTGTTACCATTTTGACAGGGAACAGTAGTCCTGGTTTTTCAACCGGCGGAGGAAGGCGGTGGTGGTGCAAAACAGGTGGTGGATAGTGGTTCTCTTGAGAATGTGAAAGCCATATTTGGTTTACATGTTTTTCCACAGCCGCCTCTCGGTCAAGTTTTCTCAAAATCCGGTGCTATTTTGGCCGGAAGTGGTGTTTTTGAAGCGGTCATCACCGGAAAAGGTGGTCATGCCGCCATCCCCCACCACTCAATCGACCCAATTTTAGCAGCCTCAAATGTGGTTGTCAGTTTACAGCATCTCGTGTCAAGAGAAACCGATCCTCTTGATTCTCAGGTTTCCCAAGAGCCTTGTGTTATGAAAATACATAGATGAATTCTCATTTGTTTGTTACGAAAATAATAAAAGAAATTTTTTATTTTTATTTTTTTAGGTTGTTACGGTTGCCAAATTTCATGGAGGTGGTGCTTTTAATGTTATTCCTGATTCAGTCACCATTGGTGGAACCTTCCGTGCTTTCTCTAAACAAAGTTTTATGCAATTGAAGCAACGAATAGAGGAGGTATGTAAGTAATATCACTAATCTGTATGCATTAATGCAAAAACTTAGAATTTGAGATTATATTTATCCGAAACTAAAATTCATCTGAATTAACAGGTTATTGTAGGGCAAGCAAGTGTACATAGGTGTAATGCAAGTGTGACATTTGGTTCAAAGGATAAACCCTTCTTCCCTGCTACAATAAACCATGAGGGGTTACACAAATTCTTCCAAGAAATTGCAGGAGATGTTCTTGGTGTTGATAATGTTAAAGAGATGCTACCATTAACAGGGGCAGAGGATTTTTCATTCTACCAAGAGATTATACCTGGTTATTTCTATTTTATTGGAATGAATGATGGAAAAAAGGGAACACCTGCATCATTGCATTCACCATTTTTTGAACTTAATGAAGATGTTCTTCCTTATGGTGCTGCATTGCAGGCGACTTTAGCTGCAAGGTACCTTGGTCAAACTCTGGATTTGGAGAGACATCAACATGTTGAACTGTGATCTGTGAATTGTCATCTCATATGGATTAAATTGCTGCTTTCTTGCTGACAAAGAGACTATTTTGAAGCCTATAATAATTGGTGGTGGTGTTTATATATTAATATATTGCTTAATGTTTGTCAGTGAATCTAGTGGTATGGTAGGTCGTCTTTATATCTTGATCTTAGGTAGTGTTTAGTATGCAACAAACATGATTATATAAAGTAAGGATTCAGTCTATTATCTTGCTCATTTCATTACCACTTGATAATTTCGTTCATCATACAAAACAAACCTAACCTTGGATAACCAGTTTGTCTTCACTTGTTCTAAACTAGTTATTTCAACCATAAGTTATCAGAATCATCAAAAAAACTAATCATCTACAACTTAAAATAACGATAATCATTGAAAATACATATCAAAACACAGAACGAAAAGCGTCTAAGTTTCCATAAAACAGGGTGTTTCATACAAATACAAACACAAATACAAAATCTCTCATTTTGTATTATACAACTGCGTCACTACATCAATAGTGATAACAAATTATTATTCAGCCATCAACTGTTCCATAAATCTTCCTAAGATTAAGATTTACTCAGTATGTAATAGTATCTCATGCTGCTTAAATACAAGTAATCAGCTAAAAAAATTCTGCAGAATCTTGAGTCTAGAACCCAAAGAACTCCATTGAATGTTCCAACAACACAACCAAAGCACTAGGAGAAAACTTCCGTGCAAAAAGAAAACAAACAGAAGTTGGCTGATTATTATAAACACATTTTTGATCTTCAAGAATCTTCTTAAAAAACTCCTTCCTCATATCATTCTTCCCAAAAGTAGCCGGATGGGCCCCACCCCTTGACCAGTCAACATACGTAAGACTCCTATTTGCCAACAAATATGGTGACTGAATAGTCAACATGGTAGGGAAATAATGTTCATCAACATAACACGCAGGTCTACAAAACTGTTCAAATTTAGGGTAAAATTTGGTGTCTTTAATGATATCAACTGCAAGATTCCTATTGGTTTCAAACCATTGAGACCCTTTTCGCCATTGACTAATGTTGACTTCTGGTAACATGTTGGGGTTGTACCTACCCCGCCCGTATGGTCCAGGTTCATCCATTGCACCCATGAAGCTGAATCTTGATCTTGAAATGTATCGATAAATTATGCTGAAATTGTGAAGAGGTATGCATGCTTCTGATAAGAGGACAAACCATTCGTTTGAGATATCAAGTAATGCATTGGCTAGAAGTCGTCTTTCTGCATCACACATGCTCATTCTTCCCCATTCCACCATCTATATTTAGAGTAAAAAAAAATGAGTTTTAGTTGTTTATATATCTAAATGAAATATGGGTTTTGATAAAATTTGGAAAGTATATTCGAATTGATTGTCAAAGTTGAGTTATATATGAGAGAAAGAAGAAGAAACACTTTTCTTGATGCATTAAGTGAAAAGGAAAGGAAACATCACACATCTTCTTCCCCAAGAACAATAGGGTGTTGCTACATATTATTAATCATGTAGTTTACCCATACAACACTTACTGAGGGAAAAAAAAAAAAAAAAAAAAAAAAAACATCCCCATTAGTCCATTAAGTAAAAATGAAAATAGCCCTAACTTTTCTTTATGGAACAAAATAGAACTAACTTTTTTTTTTCGGAATTAAGTAAAACAAAACACACAGTCCATTGGCTTTTCTTTCTGCTATTTTCAATGATGATAAGGGTATACAATTACAAGCCATTTTATTCCACTACTTGGTAATCAATTTTGTTAAAATTAGTATCAAACTAAACCTAAATATGATCATATAATCATATTCAAAAATAGACCACGCAAACACTACAAACCAATTATGAAATCACAATTATCACATAATTTTCAAGAATGTAAGAAAGGACATAGAAGATAAATGTTGCTAACCTGACAAGGAATTTGCCTCCCATAAAAGACTGAAGATGTTGGAAAATCAGGTGAATACGAAGGCAAAGAATGAACATAAATTGAATAAAGCCCTTCATTTCCTTCAAAAAACTTCTCCCACAATGGCGACAGAGGTAATGGTCCTCTTGCCAAGAACATGAACGCAATTTTAGGTATTCTTTTAAACGGGTATTCTTTGATTTGAGGAACAACTGAAGCTCGCCATAACAGCTCACTGTCATTCATTGTATGCATGTAATTTGATGGAGGCTTAATCAGATTCTGTAAACTAATGGGTTCTTGAAAACAAGGCTGTGTTCCTGGAATGATAGCCCGAAAGCCTAAATTTCTGTTCATGCGTATACTAATGATTGAAAGAATAATGCCAGCGCCTAGAAAAATCAACATGAATCTAAGTAATCTAAATGGAAAAACCCTAGATTGATTTGTCTTGATTGAATTAGTGGTGGGATCTTTGCCTTCCTCCATTGTCACTAACCTTGACTGCATTTTTTAGGGCAGAATAAACGCAGATTCGTTCTGCGAGACAATTTCACAAACACATCCACTGCACCTTTTCGGTTAAGAACACAAAAAATCCGACAAAAACCTTGCGATTATGTAAAATTTTCATGCTTCTGCCATGTAAACATGAAATTCTTTTGTAGAAAAATCTATACCCATGTCAAGAAAATCAAAACCCTCATGCGATTCTTCACAGTACATTAAAAAATAAAAATAAGAGGAAGGAGTAGATCTTCTAACTACAGATATCTAAGCTGATTTTTTTTGG